TACAACTACGAGGTTGAGAACCAACCTGTCCTCCACATTTTCTACTGTGGATGTGAAAATTCATGCTAGAAATTTCATGATATGCCCTTACAAATTGGCTATCCTAATTGAGTTGGATATTACATTTGCATAGCATAGTATTTATCCATTAAAGTGCTGGGTGTGTGGTTAATGCAAGGTACTGAAGTATGAAAAATTTAATTTCTGTGAATCAAGCACAATGGGGCAATTATCCAGTTTCAGTCTCCTGTTAGGTTTGTGTGTGCCAGCTGGAGGGGTTTGTTGACCAGATCTCAGCTGATGCCTGCACACCTCTTGGGATATTTAAATAGGGTCAAGTATGTCATATCCTCAACTAACACTTTTCTCTATAGTTTCCTTAGAAGGAGCAGGTTCTTGTTCTACAAATTCTTGTAATGTATTTTTATGTCTTATAAATTTTTTAAGCATCAGCACTATGGTAGAGCCAGTAATCAGAAACATCTATAATGAGTCTCAGTGATAACAAAAGTGTACTGTCCATAAGGAGAACTGTGATAATTTAAATTTAGTGTAGCGATAAACACATTATTCTTAATATTTTCAGTATCATGTGGTACCATTTTAAACTTCTATTTATTAAAAGTTAAAAGAAGAAAAACTACATTTCTTCATTTTCAGGTTACCCTGCCTTGGTGGGAGATGGCTATAGCGTTAAAAAATTATTTAATGCACAATTATTAAATCTTCATTTACCAGATATTCCCTAATACTGATTTACAAGGGAAGTGACATGGTACAACATTTTATTACTAACCAAATCACTGAGATTTTTCTTAGCTTACTCATTCTCTCTTCTGATGGGTTATCCTTTATTTCAATAACACAGTAAAATAGTTCAGACATAAATACACAGTATACTGAATACTTACTTTAATAGCATTTGTTCTAGCTGTTTTATGATTGTCTCTGTCTCGATCAGATTCTCTATTGCGTATAGGCTTGAGTGTGTATGGCAGCTCAAGTGTATTAGGCTGGAAAATGTCTCCTCCAAAGTTACGCCCTGCTGGATCTTTACATCTTTTTAACCCTTTATATTTGGTACTAATTTCAAAACCAGAATTATCTTCATTTTGGTTTGTTGTGTGAGAGCCTTGGCTAGGAGGGCTTTTACTGCCTGAAGTTTTAGTCTTACAAGCCCTTCTCTTAGTTGTCTTCCCACTCTGACTAGATGTGGTCATATCTGACGATTTGCTTGATTGAGTATCCTGTGGATGATGGTTTGTTCAGCCATTACATTGTTTTATGCTAATATTAGTAAGAAGAGTATTGTTTTATAAAAAAAATGAGATATTTTAAACTACAACAATTTTAAATTTTAAGCAAACTTTTATAATATGAAATATTTATGATGTACCTGGGGTACCTCATCACCCTACTTTAATACAGAAAATGCTGCACACACAAAAGCAAGAAATGTCAAACAATTATTCACTTACCCGCTCACTGATTGACAAGTCATCAGTATTTGAACTTTCTGTTGTTGTTGAAGACGTTTCTTCTTCATTGCTTTGTTTAATGCGTCTTCTTAACTTGGGATAGGCTTCGACAATGTGTAAATCAGTTTCTGTACCCACAGACTGTTTCTGTATTGAAGAATCATCTCTATTAGAAGCATTTGAAGATTTCTTGCCAACTGATGAATCACTAGTTTCTGTGTTGCTTTCATCCTTTTTACCCACAGCTCTCTGAAAAAATCTAGCCCATGACATAGATTCTAAACTTCTGTTGTTTCCTTTGGTATTACTGCCTTTTCCTTTGCTACTTTTACTTTGATTTTGCATGGTAGGATTATCAGATATACCAGAGAAATCATCTCCAACAGACTGACATGACTTAGAATCAGACTGCTTTAGATACTTTGACTTTGTACTAGAATTTGTGATCTGATTGTTGCCTACTTTTTTACTACTAGTTCCTGAGCATGGTTTCCGCCCATTAGTCATTAAATCACCTAATGGTGACACTGCTGACATTTTCTTGTTACTGCTATTCATAAGTGGACTGGAAGTCTTAATATTTTCTATGTGTGTGTGACCATTGGCAAAACCATTTTTAACAGACATATTTTTGGAATCTGCATGGCTTATCGTTCTTAGATCGAATACTTTACCTTTGTCAAAGCCTGGCATATGCCCATTAGCAGGTAAAGAGGTGGTCATAGCTATTATTGTTGTCTTAAGAATATGGTCAGCTTCTAGGGCTGAAAGAATAATTGCCCCAATCAACATGGCAACCATTAGGGGAAGTATGGCATAATAAAGAAGTGGTTCCCATGTTGGTCTTGGCACTGCAGCTCCACATTCTGCCAATAGATGTGTGGGTACTGTTGCAACCAGAGAGTATTCAACTCTTCCTGGTTCATCTTTGGTAACCCAAACCATTCCTTCATCAAGACCTCCTATGAACCCTAAACTGGTGTGAATGACTAGCCGCTGTTGTATCTTGGAGAGAGTGAAGTCTGGTGTGAATGCAATATCAATTTTGTGACTACCATTTGGGGCTAGTTGAAATCCCTCACAGTTAAGAACCTTGAACCCATAGCCCTCGCATGGTATGTCATTAATGTTGAAGCCCCACACCTGGACGGGGAGTTCCCCAGTGTTGCGTGCCATAAACGAACGCTTCACTGTAAAGTTGGGTTGATAATATTTTGAGCTTCTGGCATCTGAGGAAAAAAAAAATAAAGTGAAAAGAAAGGAGATGTGAAGAAGGTACTCAAGGAACTACATATAATAAAAGTCATTGAACCTGATAACATATTCCCATGGGTACTGAGGAAAGGAGAAGACCCACTTTGAGCCCGTACACAAAAGACACTCTCTACCAGGAATAAATTAAAAAAGATGGCATTATTGAAAATTACATATCCAAAGGAACAGCACCAAGAGCTAGAGCCCACCAAAAATAAGCAGTTAATTATGTAATTACAATATCATAAATGAAAACATTTTAGTCAAGGCATAGAACACCCAAAAAATATGAAGGGCAATCATATACAGGTCTCCCTCAACATTCGCGAGGGTTAGGGGATCAAGAGCCTCGCGAATGTTGAAAAACCGTGAATGTTTGGTGCCCCAATATATTGTAGGGAAATATAATACAATACTGCTTCCTTAACTTGTTGAACCGTGAACAACCATAAAATACATGAAAACTTCATAAACTGTACTAAAAATATACATGTTATGCTTTAATAACATGTATGTTATTAAATACCACAGACTCCACCATTGCCTCCACCAATGCCTCCACCACTTCCTCAACCACTGCGAGTCCCTACTACCCTCCCTCCGACCCCCGCAACTGGCAGCCAGCCCTCCCACCACTCAGTGTGGTGAGTGTTTTGTTTGTTCATTATTTGCTATTAAACTACAGTATAAATAATGTAAACCCATTCATGACTGCATATTGGAATGGCTATTCAGACAGGTATTGGACGGTGACATCATGTGTTTACTCTTGAACACAGCAAAGAATCAAGCATTTCTGCTACTGCAAATAATAATAATAATAATAATAATAATTAATAATAATAATAATTAATAATTAATAATTAATAATTAATAATAATAATAAATAATAATAATAATAATACGATATAATTGAAGAAGGAAATTGTACAAAAATACGAGGGAGTGGTTGACACATCGTCAGTGTGGCTTTGTTTATGTTGGAGTGAGCATTAGTCTCCGTGCTCTTCCAAACATTTCACAATAATTCAGCAGTTGAGGCAGTGGTATTTAATAACATATGTTATAAATAATAATAGTACATATTATTAATAACATGTATTATTATTATTAATAACATGTATGTTATTAAATACCACTGCCTCAATCGCTGCCTCAACCACTGCCTCAACAGCTGCCTCAACAGCTGCCTCAACCACTGCCTCGATTACTTCCTCAACAGCTGCCTCACCCACTGCCTCAATCGCTGCCTCAACAGCTGCCTCAACCACTGCCTCAATCGCTGCCTCACCCACTGCCTCAATCGCTGCCTCAACAGCTGTCTCACCCACTGCCTCAATCGCTGCCTCAACAGCTGCCTCACCCACTGCCTCAATTGCTGCATCAACAGCTGCCTCAACCACTGCCTCAACAGCAGCCTCACCCACTGCCTCAATCGCTGCCTCAACAGCTGCCTCAATCGCTGCCTCACCCACTGCCTCAATCGCTGCCTCACCCACTGCCTCAACAGCTGCCTCAACCACTGCCTCAACAGCTGCCTCAACAGCTGCCTCACCCACTGCCTCAATTGCTGCCTCAACAGCAGCCTCACCCACTGCCTCAATCGCTGCCTCAACCGCTGCCTCAACCGCTGCCTCAACCACTGCCTCAACCACTGCCTCAACAGCAGCCTCAACAGCTGCCTCACCCACTGCCTCAATCGCTGCCTCAACCACTGCCTCAACCACTGCCTCAATCGCTGCCTCAACAGCTGCCTCAACAGCTGCCTCACCCACTGCCTCAATCGCTGCCTCAATCGCTGCCTCAATCGCTGCCTCAATCGCTGCCTCAACAGCTGCCTCAACAGCTGCCTCAACAGCTGCCTCAATTGCTGCCTCTACCACTCCAGTCGCACTCAATCTACAAGCACCAAACAATGAATTATTGTGAAATGTTTGGAAGAGCACGGAGACTAATGCTCACTCTAGCATAAACAAAGCCACACTGACGATGTGTCAACCACTCCCTCGTATTTTTGTACAACTTCCTTCAATTATATCGTATTTATTATTATTATTATTATTATTACTATTGTTATTATTAGCAGTAGCAGAAATGTTTGATTCTTTGCTGTGTTCAAGAGTAAACACATGATGTCACCGTCTAATACCTGTCCGAATAGCCATTCCAATATGCAGTCATGAATGGGTTTACATTATTTATTCTGTAGTTTAATAGCAAATAATGAACAAACAAAACACTCACCACACTGAGTGGTGGGAGGGCTGGCTGCTAGTTGCGGGGGTCGGTGGGAGGGTAGTAGGGACTCGCAGGTGGCGGGAAACTTGAATATGATTTGGCGGCTGGGAATTTGGTGGCTGGGAATTTGGCGGTTGGGAATTCGCGAATGTGTGAAGCCCGTGAAAGCTGAAAACGTGAATGTTGAGGGAGACCTGTATGTGCATAGGTCTAAATACGAGAAGATGACAAATCATTAAACCACTCAAATATACTGTATTTACAAAAAACTAACCAAATGTACTTACTATCACAGTCTTTTAAGTGTTTGGCCCCAATGTTGAAGGCAAGAGGCATAGTTGATCCTGGCTTGCGATTGCCAAATTTTAAAAATCCTCTCCCGCCTCGGCCTTGTACTAGCATGGCATCTATCACTGTCAAGTTATTCCGTACCAGTAATACAGTCGTATGTATTTTTTCATCAGGTGGTGTAAAGGAAAGCCAAACTTTAACCTACAAAAGTAATATATTTTAATTACTGACTGATTCAGTTAATGTACTAGTAACATTTAGAAACAAATTCTCTAGTTGTACATTTTTTTTTTAACACATCAGCCGTTTCCCACCAAAGTGGGGTGACCCAAAAAGAAAGGACATTGTGAAAGAAAATGTTAGTAGTACTGGGGACTGATTCAGCAACCTCACTTGTGTATACAAGCTCATATATGATAATTCCAAAAATTTATGTTAAGCAATATACAGTGGACCCTCCGTTTTTGTGATTAATCCATTCCAGAGAGTGACGAAAGCTGAAATTCACAAAACCTGAAACCATTTCCCTATAATAAATAATGTAAATCCAATTAATCCATTTCAGGCACTCAAAAGTATAAACAAAAAATACATTTTATAGAGAATACAGTGGTACCCCGAGTTTTGGCCACCTCCCAACTCGAACAATTATGTAAGTGTATTATTTTAAGTGCTTTTGGAAGTGTATTTTTGGGGGTCTGAAATGGACTAATTAATTTACACTCTTCATTACGGAAACAAATTCGTTCGGTAGTGGCACTCAAACAGCCTTCTGGAACGAATTATGGCCAAAACTCCCCTCTCTCTTCCTCCTCCACTTTGGTACACTGCTACGATTTCTTTCTTGAATTCTATCATGTTTCTCACCTTTTTACCAAAGAGCTGGCACTAGAGCTTTCTTTGGTGGCAAAAAACAATGGATTACGAAATGTTTCGTATGACCTCGCAGGCTTATGTTCACTCACCAAGAAACCATGCCAGACTGACTGAGAATTCGTGTGAGGGAGGCTTTGTGTGTGCGCGGCCACTCCGACATGTTCTGTGCCACTGATGAAAACAGAGGAAAGTAATGAAAACAGAGCCTATATTTGTATGAAAAAAGTTGGCAATAACTGAAAATCCCGAAAACAGAGCCTAACAAAAATGGAGGGTCACTGTATATTTTTTGTGCCCAAGTTCAGGTAATTTAAGCTAATTTTGTTTTAGCTTTCACATATAACTAACTTCATAGCTTCTAACAGTTTAACTTTTTGAGTGCTTAATCACTGCTGCAACCTAGATGTTTACTATACAAATTCAAATATATTCACCTCCACAAATGTTGATATTCCAAACATTTTCACACTATTTGCTGAATCTTATTTTGTAAACATGACAACTTGTAAATAAAGGCTTGTGTATCTTAAATCAGAGGCTCCTATAATGTACAAATTTCTTTTTTATCTTAAAGTAACAGTTGTAGAATAGGAATAATGACATAATTGTCTCAGCAAGTTTTGTTTATATCTGACATTTCTTCTCATGTACATAAAAGGTAACTGTGCATCCATATTTTATTCTTCAGGAAACATGAGATGCATTTCCTGACATGGGTCTTGGTTGTATGATCACCTGCTAACAGAAGCTTATGGTCATGTGACAAACTACTACTGATGAGCTCCAGTTCACCACATCAAAAATTAAAGATCATACCTTATAATATGGATTGATTTTCTGTATTATTCTGCTTTTCTTACTACTACTACTATTACTAAATATATTTTTGGTAGATTCAATATTATCATTAAAATGATGGGGAGGGAGGGTTAAATTCTTTGGGGTTATACAGCACCAGGGAGAATGGGAGGCATTCAAGTTAGATCTAAAGAAGGGGAGTACAGATCCAATTCCTTGTATCAAGAGTGCCTCAGCAGCATCAAGTACCACCCTACTCCCCACACAGAGCAGGTTCTGCATTAATTCTGATTTACAACAATTCTGTAGCAGTCTCATAAATCTTACCCTAACTCCAGGTTCAAGTATTATGGCAATACTATCCTTTGCAACTCTGGTCTTGAATTGTTCTTCTAAAGCTCTTCGATGTTGAGCCAATCCACTTATCTCTGGTGCAGGTGGTGGCATAGTTCCTCCTCTTGTTCCTGCACTACTAATGCTATCAGCATCTATTAGGGTGAATACATCGTTTGGATTTCCCCCTCCACCACCTTCCTCATTCAATAGCGTGTGTCCACTGGGCAATCTGTTGAAAGATGACATGTGTACTTTAGATAATTATAATTTGATCAGATTAAGAGAAAATATTTGAGCAGTGATTAATTACCTCAGTCTCCATTTTCATGTCTCTTAGCATGATTTTTGTGCATACAAACTGAACATCTTTTATATATTCAAGAAAAACTTTACTAGCAATTGTTTAGCCTCAGCTACCATGAAAGTATTAGTTGCAGACAAATACTGTATGTGTACTTTTCCCTCATCAATGTTTTTTCTTTGGATACACTAATGTTATTTGGTGACCCATTCTTTATATGACTGTTTCTCCATTTTTCCTTCCTGTGTGTCTGCTATTTCATGTCTTTTTTTTTCACTCATCTGTCTCACATACACACTATACGCTCTCCAAACAATTTTGTATGATTGTAAAAGGAACGTGCTTCATTAACCCCTTGACTGTCGCAACCCCCAATCCTGAGGTGTCTCCTGGTGTCGTATTAAAGAAAAAAAAAATTCTTATGAAATGATAGAGAATCTTTTCCTGATTGTAATGACACCAAAAGAATGAAATTTGATGGAGAACTGACGGAATTACACTCTCACGAAGTTAGCGGCCTCGGCGATATTTACAAATCAGCGATTTCACCCACTTTAAGCCCTATTTTCGGCTAATTCCATTGTTCCAGTTGACCAAACTCATAGCTATTTCTTTAGAACTCCGTTTTTTCTATCAACTGAGTACAAGAAACTGCCCATTTACCGATTTCAACTACCCAATAACGTGGTCAGAAATTTTTCCCAAATTTTGGGCCCAAATTTCATGAAAATTAAAAAATATGACAATTTCAAAATAAGGCCCAGAATGAACAATGCAGACATTCCTGGCTCTAAAATAGCATTTTCTTTGTTCATCAGTCATGTCTCCAGGCCCCTCTGATATTACTCTTGCTTTCTATTTTGAATTTTTATTCAAACAAAAAATAGAAGACTTACTGTTATGCAGACTACTGCAATACTGTAATAATTGTACAGATAATGTCAACCCATTCATGACTGCATATTAGAATGGCTAGTTGGACATTTATTGGACAATGACATCATTTATTTACTTCTGAACATCGGCAAAAATCAAACATTTCCCCTACTTTGAGCTCCATTTCCAGGTTCTTTTTATAGTAAAACCAATAAAAATCACCTCTATTTCTATAATATGTTTTCCATTCTATCAATGAGAGCAAGAAAATGAGAATACAACCATAAATACTATACGAAAATAGACCACAAAGTTGGCATTTTAATTAAAAAAAAAAAAAAAAGGGTCAGTTTTTTTTCTCATTATGCACTGCATGCTCCAGGATTTTTATGTGGTGCACACTGACCATACAGACCCATTCTCTCACATGTGGGCCTACCAGCTTCCTCCTGCTTGATTTGAAGCCACTAGAATTCATAAGTATATATACGTCAAACACGGTGGCTCGTAAGACGTATATATATGACCGAAACAGTCAAAGGGTTAATGTAGTAGTCAATATACGTACAGATTTGCTTATCTACCAACATGTCAGTAGATGGGTGTATAAAAGGCGAAGTGAATCATGGAATGGAAGGGATGAAAAGTTTATCAACAGAAACTGAAATGTAGATAAAAAATTCATTACTAAATATTTATCTGTACTGTATTCAATATTCTCACTGAGCTCCTCTATTTCAAACTTTATCTGTGTCAGTTTCCCTCATATACTTTCTTCCTTTCCCTCTTTAAAACTTGTCATGGTTATCCCAAGTTATAGCAGTACGTTTTTTCTACACACCCTCACTGGGGTATTTAAAAAAAAAAATCCACTGTAGAACACATTTAAGTGTATGCTCAAAAACTCTGCATGATGATGTAGCTATTACAAACGCTCATGAAACATTTTGTGTGAACTACGACAAGATGTGCAATGTGAAAAATGATGCAGTACTCGGACCAGCAAATATGAGAAAAGAAAAATCAATAATGAGCAATATAACAGTAGAAAGGAGATAAGATAAAGAGCATTTGCCAATTAGACACTGCAGAGTTATATGCAGTTGTTTTAAATCAATAACAAATGTACAGTGAACGAAAAAATGATCAGTTTTAGATCAAGGCTGTATTATAATTTTTTTTTTTTTTTTATTATCACACTGGCCGATTCCCACCAAGGCAGGGTGGCCCGAAAAAGAAAAACTTTCACCATCATTCACTCCATCACTGTCTTGCCAGAAGGGTGCTTTACACTACAGTTTTTAAACTGCAACATTAACACCCCTCCTTCAGAGTGCAGGCACTGTACTTCCCATCTCCAGGACTCAAGTCCGGCCTGCCGGTTTCCCTGAACCCCTTCATAAATGTTACTTTGCTCACACTCCAACAGCACGTCAAGTATTAAAAACCATTTGTCTCCATTCACTCCTATCAAACACGCTCACGCATGCCTGCCGGAAGTCCAAGCCCCTCGCACACAAAACCTCCTTTACCCCCTCTCTCCAACCTTTCCTAGGCTGACCCCTACCCCGCCTTCCTTCCACTACAGACTGATACACTCTTGAAGTCATTCTGTTTCGCTCCAATCTCTCTACATGTCCGAACCACCTCAACAACCCTTCCTCAGCCCTCTGGACAACAGTTTTGGTAATCCCGCACCTCCTCCTAACTTCCAAACTACGAATTCTCTGCATTATATTCACACCACGCATTGCTCTCAGACATGACATCTCCACTGCCTCCAGCCTTCTCCTCGCTGCAACATTCATCACCCATGCTTCACACCCATATAAGAGCGTTGGTAAAACTATACTCTCATACATTCCCCTCTTTGCCTCCAAGGACAAAGTTCTTTGTCTCCACAGACTCCTAAGTGCACCACTCACTCTTTTTCCCTCATCAATTCTATGATTCACCTCATCTTTCATAGACCCATCCGATGACACGTCCACTCCCAAATATCTGAATACATTCACCTCCTCCATACTCTCTCCCTCCAATCTGATATTCAATCTTTCATCACCTAATCTTTTTGTTATCCTCATAACCTTACTCTTTCCTGTATTCACCTTTAATTTTCTTCTTTTGCACACCCTACCAAATTCATCCACCAATCTCTGCAACTTCTCTTCAGAATCTCCCAAGAGCACAGTGTCATCAGCAAAGAGCAGCTGTGACAACTCCCACTTTGTGTGTGATTCTTTATCTTTTAACTCCATGCCTCTTGCCAAGACCCTCGCATTTACTTCTCTTACCACCCCATCTATAAATATATTAAACAACCACGGTGACATCACACATCCTTGTCTAAGGCCTACTTTTACTGGGAAATAATTTCCCTCTTTCCTACATACTCTAACTTGAGCCTCACTATCCTCGTAAAAACTCTTCATTGCTTTTAGTAACCTACCTCCTACACCATACACTTGCAACATCTGCCACATTGCCCCCCTATCCACCCTGTCATACGCCTTTTCCAAATCCATAAATGCCACAAAGACCTCTTTAGCCTTATCTAAATACTGTTCACTTATATGTTTCACTGTAAACATCTGGTCCACACACCCCCTACCTTTCCTAAAGCCTCCTTGTTCATCTGCTATCCTATTCTCCGTCTTACTCTTAATTCTTTCAATAATAACTACCATACACTTTACCAGGTATACTCAGCAGACTTATCCCCCTATAATTTTTGCACTCTCTTTTATCCCCTTTGCCTTTATACAAAGGAACTATGCATGCTCTCTGCCAATCCCTAGGTACCTTACCCTCTTCCATACATTTATTAAATAATTGCACCAACCACTCCAAAACTATATCCCCACCTGCTTTTAACATTTCTATCTTTATCCCATCAATCCCGGCTGCCTTACCCCCTTTCATTTTACCTACTGCCTCACAACTTCCCCCACACTCACAACTGGCTCTTCCTCACTCCTACAAGATGTTATTCCTCCTTGTCCTATACACGAAATCACAGCTTCCCTATCTTCATCAATATTTAACAATTCCTCAAAATATTCCCTCCATCTTCCCAATACCTCTAACTCTCCATTTAATAACTCTCCTCTCCTATTTTTAACTGACAAATCCATTTGTTCTCTAGGCTTTCTTAACTTGTTAATCTCACTCCAAAACTTTTTCTTATTTTCAACAAAATTTGCTGATAACATCTCACCCACTCTCTCATTTGCTCTCTTTTTACATTGCTTCACCACTCTCTTAACCTCTCTCTTTTTCTCCATATACTCTTCCCTCCTTGCATCACTTCTACTTTGTAAAAACTTCTCATATGCTAACTTTTTCTCCCTTACTACTCTTTACATCATCATTCCACCAATCACTCCTCTTCCCTCCCGCACCCACTTTCCTGTAACCACAAACTTCTGCTGAACACTAACACTACATTTTTAAACCTACCCCATACCTCTTCGACCCCATTGCCTATGCTCTCATTAGCCCATCTATCCTCCAATAACTGTTTATATCTTACCCTAACTGCCTCCTCTTTTAGTTTATAAACCTTCACCTCTCTCTTCCCTGATGCTTCTATTCTCCTTGTATCCCATCTACCTTTTACTCTCAGTGTAGCTACAACTAGAAAGTGATCTGATATATCTGTGGCCCCTCTATAAACATGTACATCCTGAAGTCTACTCAACAGTCTTTTATCTACCAATACATAATCCAACAAACTACTGTCATTTCGCCCTACATCATATCTTGTATACTTATTCATCATCTTTTTCTTAAAATATGTATTACCTGTATTTACACTGTATTATAATATGTATACATTATCAATTTCAGATTGCTACATCAGGTATACATCATTAACAGTGATACAATGAGATGAGATTGTTTTAACATATATCTACCATATTAGTTCCATTCCCCTTCCTTCCTTCCCACTCCTTATTCCAGTTCCAATCTTTCTCCAGGACTACATTCAGTGGCTAGCTTTCCATATTTTTTTTTTCACTTTAGCCACACCTATATTCTTACCACTGATA